TGCAAGGATGCTAAGAGGGTATGCAAGGTCAGGACGAGTGCAGGTCATGAGGTACATGAGGCAGCCCACAAGCTCTGGATACGGGCCACTCGGCTCTACGGACTCATCCGAAGGCAGAGCTGAGAGCGAGTGACCGGTAGGCAGAGGAGTGGACTGAGGCGAGGAGTACGTGAAGCCGAAGCGCTGAAGGACCTGCTGCACCATGTGTGACTGAGTCAACGTAATGGTGCGCCGTGCTCTGTCCCGGGTGATCCGCAAGCCAAGGTAGCTTGTCAGTTCACCCAGGTCTGTGCACGTGTGTCTCTTCTGCAGCTCCGACTTCACGTGGGCGAGAGCCTGAGTGTCAGCAGTGGCAAAGACCAAGTCGTCGACGTACACGAGGATGTAGAACGGCGGCAACGAAGTGTCTGTGCGTAGAAACAGCGACGGGTCAGCAGTAGAAGGCGCGAACCCAAGTGCCGCAAGTGTAGTCCTCAGTGTGTCGTGCCACTCACATGGCGCCTGGCGGAGACCGTAGACCGGCCGGCGGAGGCTCCACTGGGTACCAGGAGGAAACGACCCAGTGAAGCCAGGAGGGCGGCGCAGCCAGATCTCCTCGTGCAGACTACCCTGCAAGAAAGCAGTGCTGAAGTCAAGAGAGTGAAGCTCGTAGTCACGCTGAGCGGCTATGTGCAGCAGCACCCGAAGAGTGGTCATCTTCGGGGTGGGGGAGAAGGTCTGGAAGAAGTCGACTCCCTCACGCTGGCTGAAGCCTCGAGCAACGTAACGCGCCTTGAAGACAGGCGGAGAACCCGGCGGCCGCTTCACCCTGAAAATCCACATGCCACTGACGATGTTCGCCCCTGGTGGGGGAACAGCGTCGACGTAGGTGCCTGTGGACTTCCAGGAAGCCATCTCTGCGTCCATGGCTGTCTGCCACTGAGAGGAGTAGGGACCCGCTATCGCCTCTGCGTAAGAGCGCGGGGTCGGGATGTCTGGTGCATCCGGGTCTCCCTCAGGGGCAACTAGCATGGACACGAGATGAGGTAAAGCAGCAGCAAAGCACTGGAACTCCTCCTGCCTGTCCTCAAGGACGTCCGTGCCAAGAGTACACTCACCCCCGATGGACGGAGGACAGACAGACTCAGACTCAGCAACTAGGCTAGCGGCGTAGTCGAGACGACAAGCGGCAGCAAAGTCAACTAACTCAGCGACGAGAGCAGACGCAGCAGAGGACTCAAAGGTAGGGTCAGTGACAACAGTAGCAAGGAGACGCGTGACAGTAGGACGGGCAGCACGAAGGGAGTCAGACTCCGGGTCAGGAAGCTCAGGAAGAGAGGACGCAGGAGGAGACGGCAGAAGGACACGCTGAGGAGCAGTGGAGGGACGCAGAGTCATATAGTGAGTGCCAGGGACAGGAGGAGGACGCTCACGCGGGACACGACGACCAGTGCGAGCAGCACGGACAGGCGACGCAGAGCGAGACGCAGGCGACACAGGACGAGACTCAGGCTCACGACGCTCCGTAAGACCTCCTGTGGGACCAGTGTAAGGAGAAGGACCGGGGAGCGGCGAGGGAGGCGGGAACTGCGACTGCGACGGGACCGGCGGAGGACACTCTAAGGAGGGAGCAGGACAAGGAGGAGGAGGCTGACCAAGAACCTGCTGGAGAAGCGGAACGAAGTACGGTCGGGGCCGCTCAGTGACTCCAGAACCAGGAGAGACGGCACCAGCACCCGCGGCAGCTCCAGCGCCAGGGTCCGCCGCACCAGCAGCAGCTCCAGCTCCAGGGTCCGCAGCACCAGCAGTAGCTCCAACTCCAGGGTCCGCAGTACCAGCAGCAGCTCCAGCTCCCGGGTCCGCAGCACCAGCAGCAGCTCCAGCGTCAGGGTCCGCAGCACCAGCAGCAGCTCCAGCTCCAGGGTCCGCAGCACCAGCAGCAGCTCCAGCGCCAGGGTCCGCAGCACCAGCAGCAGCTCCAGCTCCCGGGTCCGCAGCACCAGCAGCAGCTCCAGCGTCAGGGTCCGCAGCACCAGCAGCACTAGCAGGGCCTCCAGCAACAGCAGCAGCACCTCCAGCACCAGGGTCCGCGACACCAGGCGCTCCACTCCGGAGAGTGCAGCGCCGCTCGTACCACTCGCGGATCCGCTCAAGAGAGGGCAGCTCCCGCTGAGGAGGGGAGGCACCAGCACCAGTCGCAGCAGCACTCCTGGTCCCAGAGGCACCTCTCCGGAGGCTGCAGTACTCTGAGTACCACTCACGCAGCCGCTCCGAGGAGAGAGCTCCCCCAGGCGCAGGACTCCCAGGCTCAGCACCCCCAGACTCAGCACTCCCAGACCCAGAACTCGTCAGCTCAGCATCCCCAGGCACAGCACCCCCAGGCTCAGGACGCCCAGGCTCAGCAACCCCAGACTCCGCACCCCCAGGCTCCGCAACCGCAGGCTCCGCACCCCCAGGCTCAGCACCCCCAGGCTCAGCACCCCCAGGCTCCGCACCCCCAATCTCAGCACCCCCAGACTCCGCACCCCTAGGCTCCGCACCCCCAGCAGGACGAGAGTCAACAGCTACCTCAACAGGCTCAACCGGGTCTACCTGGGACACACCTGAGGGAGCGGCACCCTGAGGGGGGAGGGGGTCTACCACAGCGGCACCTGGCGCGAGGAAGAGAGGCGGGGGGGGGAGCGGGGCAGTGCGGTAGGGGAAGAGGCGGTAGTAGGGGACGGACTCGTCAAACGTGACGTCCTGAGAGGCAAGGACCCGGCGCGAGGTGGCGTGGTAAAACTGCCAACCAGACGCGTCAGGGACAAAGCCAAGGAAGACGCAGGGAACAGCGCGGGTGGAGAGCTTGTCCGCGGACGTATCGCGGACAAAAGCTCGAGATCCCCAGACCCGGAAATGCGACGCATCGCCAACCTCCCCCGTCCACAGCAGCGTGGGCGAGGTCTCCGGCAAGGAGACACGGGGCCAGAGGTTGAGCTGATGCGCAGCGTACCGGACCGCAAACGGCCACAGAAAGTGGGGGGCAGCCGCATGGATCAAGGAGGTACGGGCGACCTCCATGACTAGGCCAATGCGGCGCTCCGCAACCCCATTCTGCTGTGGAGAGGCCGGAAGCGTGAACGACTGCTCAATGCCGTGCTCAGCACAGTAGGCTGCCAAGAGGTCGGAGGAGAACTCACCACCTCTGTCAGAGTGCAAGCGCAGGACAGGAAAGTCCGAGTGGAAACGCTCGCTGAGCTGGAGACGAGCTCTGCGGATCCAAGGGATCAAAACATCAGGGACCTCACCCTTGGTGCGCAAGGGGAAGACCGTGGTGTAGCGCGAGTAGTCGTCAACAACTATCAGGAAGTACCTCTCTTGACCCTGACCACGGACGCGGGCTGGGCCCCACACGTCCATGTGGAGCGTCTGCAAGGGAGCAGTCGTCGGGGGAAAGGAGGAGGAGTGAGGAGCGGCGCGCTGCCGCCCCTCGACACAGGGAAGACAGGGAGGAGCAGGCGAGGGAGGGAGAGGAGGGAGGACCCT